GACAGTCCAAACCACAACAGAGACCCTATACAGTGTAAGTATCATGATTCTATCTCTGTATATTGGCCCTGTCCCGCATGCCAGAGGGATCTTACGAGAAGCAAAGGTGTTAAGAACCGCCTCGAAACCGAACCTGGTAAATGTCGTTTTGCTGAACCCTTGAAACTTCCAGATGATCATGACCCCGAAGGTAAGACCGTGCCAGCTTGGTGGAAACCCTTACCTAAACCTGGTGAGGGCCAAGCTTCAGCGTCCGGTGGCCGCCAAGGCGCACGCGCCAGGCCACCGCGACCACGATCCTTCGGGAACGCTGATCCGACATCTGGTGCCAGCAGTTACGACATGCTACGAGACGCCCCCGAGCGTGGAAACACGCCTTCTGCGTCCTCTAGCGAACCGCCACAGGTAGCAGCCCGTCGCGGTCGCCTACAAGGCGTACCACCACCACCAGATGCAGTTGACGAAGGAGACCGACTGCGGAGAGCTACAAGGAACTCTCTTGCCTCCACCGGCTCGGGGGCTCCACGACTACCCGACTGGGCGAGATTCGACATCCAACACAGTCTGCAAAATATCCGTAGTCATGAAACTCATGTCGTCAGAAAGGAACTCCGTAAACTGCACCTGCGGTGGCATCATGCGAAGGAACCCAAGATGAGGCTAATCCTAGACAAAGTGGGACTGGATAACGTTCGACTGAATACGATCAAAGAAGTCTGCGACACCTGTCGGGAATGCAGAGCATGGGAAAGTCCAGGAAACTCAACGCTACCTTCGGTGAGCCTTCCTGGAAGTTGGCTCGATGAAGGCGAAATGGATCTCATGTTTTATAAGAAACGAACCATATTTCATAGTATGGATCGCTGTATTCGCCTGGCAGCAGGCCAAGAAATTACCGACAGAGAACGCGACGCGATACTGGGCGCTTGCCACTACTGCTCGATTGCCTATCATGGACCCTTCAAAGTCTTGTACTCAGATGGAGAAGGCGCCCTGAACAATGATACCGCTAAGGCCATTGGCGAATAAGGGCACAACGCTCCGTATCCGAGCGCCTGGCCAACACGCGACTTCAATCCAGTCACGAAACGGTATTCTTAGAGGCGTCCTCCACATGATTGAGGAAGAGCTGAATAGACACAACATCCCTGTTGTATTCACTAGAATATTGGCTGAAGGCATCTTCGTTACCAACGCCTTTACGTTCTACAACGGGGTATCACCATACCAAGCACACACTGGACGCCAGCCCTCCTTTCTTCCTGATCTCGACACCCTTGACTTTCCCAAGGGACCCGAGACATCAGGCCATGAACGAGAACGTCGTGTGAGGGAAGTTAGCCTAGAAGCAATAACTCACGCCACGGCTGTGGCCAAGACAAATCGTGCTCTCATGGCTAAAACGGCTCCAGATGGTGCTCGCCTTTACTCAGCAGGGGATCTGGTCGACTACCATCGACCCACTGCCACTAAGGACGATCATGGGTGCTGGAACGGCCCATTCCCTGTGATCCGCAATGTGCCTGAAAGAGGACATGTCGTTGTCAAGGCAGGATCTCGTGAGGTGATTGTGATGTATCCTGACGTTCGTCACGCGCTATACATTGAATGTCTCCTCGCACGGGCACTTGGCATGGATAACATGGCCATGCAAACAGTCCTTACGTATGTGGCACACCTTGGCGCAGGGAAACCTGCCAAAGTCTTTGGCTACATCCCTGACTACAAGGGAAACCTCAATCTTTCAGACGACAGCAAGTTTCACCCGCGCGTGCATCTTGCACTACAGTATCTCGTGCGAAACTATTTCAGAGTAGAACACGTAGTAGCAGTTAGATTGGCCAAAAGTGTGTCATGTCTACTTGCAGTAAAGTACGCCACCGGGTCTACGCTGATACACTACGACAATGATGTCAGCCCAGCCTTCCATCCACTATTATGAGTGTGTGGGCACTGGCCTGAACATTTCTCAAATCACTGGTAGCACTCATTCCAGACTTATCCAATGCTTGACCTCACATGTTCCTTCCTTAGGATTTCACGACGACCTGGCCAAGTATCAGCACTCGGGCACCACGTCTGGAGAACACGATACGCCTGGAAGCAGGCCTCCACCAGACACCCCAGGTGCCTCATCGCCAAGTGAAGGCCGTCTGTCGACAATCTATGCAGATACCGAGGAACATAATATCGAAGCCATGATGATGGAAGAGTGGTACGACGAGTTACGTATGGACCTTCATCCCACGACGACAACCGACGATTCTCTCTACTGCGTCCCAACAACCATGATGCCCGACCAATGTGTTTTGGTTTCAGCACCTGTGGACGAAGAAGATATCATATTGTTGGAAACGCTCGGAGACGAGCCTGAACCACAAGAGCCCTGTCTAGTCTCTCTCTCTGCTCAACCACACCTGACGAGAGCTACTCTCTTGACAGTGATGAATATGGTCCCTATGTCGAGTTATGTTTTACATCAGAAATGTCAAAAGTAGTGTTGGATCAGACTCAACTTGCACAGCTCGACACTGATATGGTCGCAACGATGAGAGTATATGCATCCTCTGCTGCTAAACGTGCTGTGGTAGTCAAGGAAGACGACCTACTCAACAAAGCCGACATAGCAGCACACCCGAAAGAGGTTAGTGAAGCTTTGTACACTGAACTCAAGATCTGGCTCGACAGCCGGTGCTTTGAGATGCATGATGTATCCAAAGCTTCCAACATCATGACATCTAGGTATGTATATAAGTGGAAGTTTGTGAAGATAGGTACCGAGAACGTTAAAACCATCCGTCTCAGACTTGTCCTTCGTGGATTTATGGACACTGAGGCTTTCGATGTGGAAACCTTCTCGGGGACCGCTCGAAGGCAGTCCCAGAGACTCCTAGCGAGTGAGGCGGCGTGCCATCCAGAGTGGATCTTAGCATCCATGGACATCGACAAGGCGTTCCTCAAGGGTTTGACCTATGAGGAACTTGCCCATGCCACCGGCGAGGAAACTCGCACGGTTTGCTTCACCATTCCACCGGGAAGTGTCCAGGTACTTCGTACACTGCCTGGCTTCTCATCCCATGGCGAAAGCCGACGCTGCCTCAGGCGCCTCAAGCCAGGAACGGGTACAAAAGACGCCCCAAGAGCGTTCTCTCTCAAACTTCGTACGACCACACGAGCTATAGGCCTTACACCGACAAGTTATGATCCGGAATTTGAATTCAGCCAAGACCTGCTAACGGCAAAACATGTCGATGATATTAATATGACAGGCCTAGATAAAAATATAGACGACTATGTACAACGTGTCGAAAAGGTGTTTCGCAAATGCAAGCTTAACAAACATTCATATACGGACTGCGCCGTTCGCTACACTAAGAATGACCAAGGGGATGTGATCATGGATCAGGACGAGTATATCAAGCAACTACGTCCTATCACACACCCAGAACTTACAGGAGCGGCGGCCGATGCCAAAGCCACCAAACTCATTACCGACATGTTCGTCAGCTTGCGAGGAGCCCTCGCCTATGCCCTTCTTACTCAAGTCTGGCTCATGGTATATGTGGTCTCTCTTCAGAAAAGCCCAGAGCCCACCAACCTACAAGTCAGACGACTGAATGCTGCGACGCGAAAGCTGATCAGCAGCCCGAAACGCATCACCTTCCCTCGGATGAAGCCGACGAATGAAGTTGACATACACAGCGACTCAGGGTATCGGAAGCTCACCGGGGAGGAGGACGATGAGACCAAGGGCTATGGCATACGCGGGGCCAACGTACTACGGCGAGGAAACTCGCCCCAAGGCAAGTCCGTCGTTCATCTCTGTGATGGACTATGCAAATCACACCGACTGCAGGTGAGGTCCAGCTATGCCGCGGAGGCACTCGCAGCTGCACATAACCTCGACGAGTGTTGCCCTACGCCCATCACTCTCCACGAGCTCAAGGCAGGGGCTCTGACTCCACGACAACTACGAGATATGCGTGAAGTTGGGGGCCTAGCCATTAAAGTATCTCTTACCATAGACGCTGAGTCGCCTTATAAATCGCTATCAAGCAAGGATCTTAAGATACCGACAGAACGGACCTTGCTTGGACATATCAGCTGGATACGTGAGCTCATGGATATAGGTATAGTGCATAATGTGCAGTGGTGTGATACTAGAGATATGACCGCAGATGGGCATACAAAGGGAAGCATCGATCGGGAGCTGCTTTTGGAAGTGATGTCAGGCACTCAGTCATTTAAGTATGACGTGAAGCAGTTTGTTCCCTTTCGGGGTCCCGAGGACAGAAACAAGCCTAAGTCTAATCAATTCTAGCCTGTCCTTGTTGCCCCCGCGGTCCAATTTGCCAATATGGGCGCCTACTATAAAAGGCGCCCTTCTGGGTGCTCGGAAACGAGCCTTACATTTCACGCCTGGCAACGAGACGGCTTCATGTGATTCAGGCTCTTTGCCTTAATACCCGTTTGCTCGGTGAGGTATGGCCCGTTTGGCTTACCTCTAGCGGGGCCGATAGCCCTTTACCATTCAAGGGGCTGTCTTGTATTTGCGTGAAATGCTTTGCGGGGAAACTCGCCTTACAGCCTGGCGTTAGGCCAGTCTGTACGCACTGTTTTCTTGCAAACAGTTGCGCGCGCGGCCTTTGTAGAGCCTAACGGCTGCGCGGCTATACTCTCCGTCTCCTCCCCTCCCGACTTTAAGGGTAGCTCTTTGGGAGATGTTATATAGAATCGGGAGTGTAGCTCGTGCGCCGTTGCCTTTGGCTCAAGGCACGCGCGCCCTATTTGCCCGGACACTTACCTTAGTGTTCGCTATGTGCTGGAAAGACCGATACATCGATCTTATCCTATCCTACCCATCCACTCCCCATATCGTATTCCTTCGACATGGGATTGGATGCAATGTGAGCTCATCTGCCTCCCATGGAGACGGATGCTATTTGACCTACCAGGCTCACTTTCGACTCCCTCTTAGCCTTATCCAGCTCGCCTTGGAGGACATTTGCAGCCCCAACTTCTTTCCAAGCGGGCCACTTATTTTCAGCGCAGCAATGAAATAACGTAGCTTTTCACCCGTTGTTCCTTGCTTCCCCCTGGAGCTAGAGCGCACTGGCTCTTGGCATCCGTTCCCGCCTACGCCCTAGCTCGCATCATGCTTAACTACAGACAGTTTGGGGGGCCCCCGAAACAGGGGCACAAAATGCTTAGGTTGCCTTTCCCCTTCCAAGGCATGCCGGCTCTCATTGCCGAGCGTACGTATTGCCAGTATGTCTCGACTATCGGGGCATTTGCGGGCAATCCTTTGCTGGCTGGCATTCCTCAAAGGCTCTCGCAGCAGTAAGTGGACATGTTGGTACAGTCACCCCTAGCGGTTTGCATAAGGGACGTGCGTCACATGGACCCGTGGCATTACATGATGCTCCTCAGTGGGACTGTTTTGACATTTTCTCTAGCGCTGGCGGCAGACGTTGGCGCAAAGGCCTCGCCGCAATGTCGCAAAATGGCGCGGCAACGCGACAGCGCTGAGGCTGCGACTGGCGAGAAATATGTTCGGCATGGTATGTTCCTCTCCGGCTGTTTAGGGTATCTTTCTCCTGGGGACAAATAGCGCGAGGAGGCACGCAAGCACACGACCCAGGTCAAAACGAATGGAATTGTCGCCCAGCTCGACACGGCTAATTCGACCCGCCCTCCCCTTCCGATAAGATCAAGTGAAATCGTATCACCTGAGGTATCTGATTTGGGCTTCTCGTGCACAACCCTCCATATGGCGTCCACTGGAGAGCAACGGGCCCAGAGTAAGTGTGAGACGCCTATCTCCACCCAGGATGCGCCCCGCTAAGATGGCGAGGACAGTTGGCCTTTCGTCCATCTCCGCATGCCTCCCTCTCGTCTCTCGTTGCATTCCTTCGCCGCGCACTTCCGCTCATCGTGTACCCCGTTCGCTTTCAGGAAGAAACTCGGCAGTATCCCCGCCCCACAGCGGAAAAACGTAAATTGTTCCTTCAGCTCGGTGCACTCTGCGCATCCCCCTCCTTTACATCGGACACTGCCTGCGCGCAGCCGGTCCAAACACCGCGGTTTTCAGAGTCCCCAAGGTACTGCGAGGTCACGCCCATCGCGATCTGGGGCTTCGGGCGCGCCAGGCGGCGTGGCACAACTCGTGACTCTGAGGCGACACCAGCAGCTCAAGCCTTGATGCTTCCAAAACCTCCCTCCTTCCTCCTCCTCCACCTCCTCCTCCTTCCTCTTCCTCCTCCTCATCCTTCCTCCTCCTTCTCCTAGTGCCCCCTCCCCCACCACCTCGAAGGAAGAAGCGGGGAAGGAGGATGAAGAGAAGGAGGAACGCCAACACCCACGGAGGAGGAGGACCAGTGGAAACCCAAAACGCATCAACCATGTTGTAATAGACACTCCCCCAAACTTCCGTTTTCATAGGTCCCGATACAAGAACTTGGTTTCACAGCTTGAAGCGCCCGGTTGGAAGACAACCGTCTGAGAATCCTTAATCGTGCCAAATCACACCTCCTTGGACTTCAACGCCGCGAATCAACTTCACTGTTGCGGCCTGACAGTCCAGCACCGTGCCAGAGCACCATTCCTGGGACTCCACCGCGAACGAACGCGACTGTCGCGCCATGATAATCCTTTCCCATGCCAGAACACAATTCCTGGGACGTCAACCAAAAGTATCCGTTAAACTGTTGTAAACTGGTGGAACGAATGCGCGCGGCGCTAGGGTGAGAACAATATTTTCAGTAAGAGCCGCCCTCCATCCGTAAAGCTTTTGCACATTCGTAGGACGAATGGGAACGGCGCTGCAGCGAGAGCAACATCTTAAAATCAACCGCCCTCCGTCCGTGAAGCTGTTGCAAGCTTCTAAAGCAGACGCACGCGGCGCCAACAGGATCACCATCTTGAAAACCAACCGCCCTCCATCCATCCATGAAGCTCGCGCATGTTTTGAACCAGCGTGCGCGGCGCTGAGGCGAGAGCAACATGGCGTTTTGCAGAGTTGGGGATGTCTCGAGCGAAACGATTGTTTTCAGAATTTGGTTGAGGATTTCTCGAGCGAAACGCTGGTTTTGCAGAGCCGACCGCGACGCGGAAAAGCGCCCCGCGCGCAGGAATTTCCGAAGATGTCTCGCGCGTGCCGCGTCCCGCGCGCAGGAATTTCGAGGATGTCTCGACTACTTCGTTTGTTTTTCTTTGATTCCCTTGAATTTTGGCAAGATGTCTCGAGCGAAACGATTGTTTTCAGAATTTGGTTGAGGATTTCTCGAGCGAAACGCTGGTTTTGCAGAGCCGACCGCGACGCGGAAAAGCGCCCCGCGCGCAGGAATTTCCGAAGATGTCTCGCGCGTGCCGCGTCCCGCGCGCAGGAATTTCGAGGATGTCTCGACTACTTCGTTTGTTTTTCTATGATTCCCTTGAATTTTGGCAAGATGTCTCGAGCGAAATACTTGTTTTTTTCATAATTGGTTGAGGATGTTTCAAGCGAAACGATGTTTTGCAATTTTTTTAATAATTTGTTGAGGATGCCTCGAGCGAAACACTGGTTTTGCAAAATCGGGGGATGTCTCGAGCGGGGCCTCGTGGGGGGGCAGAATTCAGAGGATGCTTCAGGCAAAATGCTTGTTTTCACGTCCCGCTCGGAGGAATTCCGAGGATGTCTCGCGCGTGCCGCGTCCCGCGTGCAGGAATTCCGAGGATGTCTCGACTAATTTGTTTGTTTTGCCAGGATTTCATAGGATTTTGACTGGATGTCTCGAGCGAAGCGTTTTTCCCCAGCGCGTTCCGTAGCGCGTCCCCTTGGCACGTCCCGCGGTGCGTCCCCATGGCACGCCCCTTGGCACGTCGCTTGGCGCGTCCCTTGAGACGTTCCGCCGCGCGTCCTCCTGGCATGTCCCCCTGTCAATTAGCTCTGGGGCAGCTATTCTGTGTTCAAGCAGCTCGAGCTTAAGATCGAGATCAGTTCGGTCAGGACTCGGATGCAAAGGAGGACTCGATCCACGAGGCTATAGAGCACAATCGCGGCAGGGCACATCGCAATTCAGCACGGCGCAGCACAGCATATATTTCGGCACGGTACATCAAGATCGATACACTCAGCATTGCAATTTGGCACGTTCCTTGGCACGTTCCGTGGCGCGTCCCTTGGCGAGTCTCCCTGGCACGTCGCGTGGCGCGTCCCCTGGCACATCCCGTGGCACATCCATTGGTCGCGTGCCCAGGTCACCCAGGCGGACGTCTCACATGAAGATGTGTAGAGGATGTCTCGAGCGAACCACTTGTTTTCGCGTGTCCTGTTCGCCCAGGCTGATGTCTAGCATGAGAATGTGTTGAGGATGTGTTGAGCGAAACGCTTGTTTTCACGTGTCCAGGTCGCTCAGATGGATGTCTAGCATGAGGGTCTTGACAGAACTTCTCGAGCGAAACGCTTGTCCCCAGCACGTTCCGTAGCGCGTCCCCTTGGCACGTCCCGCGGTGCGTCCCCACGGCACGCCCCTTGGCACGGCGCTTGGCGCGTCCCTTGAGACGTTCCGCGGCGCGTCCTCCTGGCATGTCCCCCTTGTCAATTAGCTCTGGGGCAGCTACTATGTGTTCAGGCAGCTCGAGCTTAACATCCAGATCAGTTCGGTCAGGACTCGGATGCAAAGGAGGACTCGATCCACAACGCTATAGAGCACAATCGCGGCATGGCACATTTCAATTCAGCATGACGCAGCACAGCACAGACTTCGGCACGGTACATCAAGATCGATACACTTAGCATTGCAACCTGGCGCGTTTCTTGGCACGTTCCGGGGGGCGTCCCTTGGCGAGTCCCCCTGGCACGTCGCGTGGCGCGTCCCCTGGCACATCCCGTGGCACGTCCATTGGCACGTTCCGTAGCGCGTCCCCTTGGCACGTCCCGCGGTGCGACCCCATGGCATGTCCCCTGGCACGTCGCCTGGCGCATCCCTTGGGACGTTCCGCGGCGCGTCCTCCTGGCATGTCCCCCTGTCGATTAGTTCTGGGGCAGCTACCATCTGCTCAGGCAGCTCGAGCTTAAAATCCAGATCAGTTCGGTCAGGACTCGGATGCAAAGGAGGACTCGATCCATGACGCTATAGAGCACATTCGCGGCAGGGCACATCGCAATTCAGCACGGTGCAGCACAGCACAGCCCTCGGCAGGGTACATCAAGATCGATACATTCAGCATTGCATTTGCCCGTCACCCAATCAGGTGTCTTTGAAAACGCTGCCATGTGTTTCAGTTCTATATTCCTTTCCGGGTTCGTGGGTCGATCATGTTGTTTTCCGGGTTCGTGGGTCGATCATGTTCAGGATTTGTTGAGGATGTCTCGAGCGAAACGCTTGTTTTGTGTTATAGATTGTCCTCTCCTGGGGGCCAGAATCCAAGGATCTCTCAAGTGAAATGCTTGTTTTCACGTGCCCAGGTCTTGAGGATGTCTCGAGCGAGACGCTTGGTTTCACGCCTCCAGGTTGCCCAGGCAGAGGTGTAGCGCCAGGATTTGTTGAGGATGTCTCGGGCGAGACGCTTGGTTTCACGCGTCCTCGTCGCCCAGGCGGCTTTTTAGCATGAGGATATGTTGAGGAAGTCTCGATCGAGATGCTTGTTTGCACGTGTCCAGGTTGCCCAGAGAGATGTCTAGCATGAGGATTTGTTGAAAGTGTCTCGAACGATGCGCTTGTTTTCACGTGTCCAGGTCGCCCAGGCGGATGTCTGACATGAAGATGTGTTGAGGATGTCTCGAGCGAGACGTTTGCCTCACGTGTACAGGTCGCCCAGGCGGATGTCTAGAATGAGGAGGTGTTGAAGACGTCTCGAGCGAAACGCTTGTTTTCACGTGCCCAGGTCACCCAGGCGGACGTCTCACATGAAGATGTGTAGAGGATGTCTCGAGCGAACCACTTGTTTTCGCGTGTCCTGTTCGCCCAGGCTGATGTCTAGCATGAGAATGTGTTGAGGATGTGTTGAGCGAAACGCTTGTTTTCACGTGTCCAGGTCGCTCAGATGGATGTCTAGCATGAGGGTCTTGACAGAACTTCTCGAGCGAAACGCTTGTCCCCAGCACGTTCCGTAGCGCGTCCCCTTGGCACGTCCCGCGGTGCGTCCCCATGGCACGCCCCTTGGCACGTCGCTTGGCGCGTCCCTTGAGACGTTCCGCGGCGCGTCCTCCTGGCATGTCCCCCTTGTCAATTAGCTCTGGGGCAGCTACTATGTGTTCAGGCAGCTCGAGCTTAACATCCAGATCAGTTCGGTCAGGACTCGGATGCAAAGGAGGACTCGATCCACAACGCTATAGAGCACAATCGCGGCATGGCACATTTCAATTCAGCATGACGCAGCACAGCACAGACTTCGGCACGGTACATCAAGATCGATACACTTAGCATTGCAACCTGGCGCGTTTCTTGGCACGTTCCGGGGGGCGTCCCTTGGCGAGTCCCCCTGGCACGTCGCGTGGCGCGTCCCCTGGCACATCCCGTGGCACGTCCATTGGCACGTTCCGTAGCGCGTCCCCTTGGCACGTCCCGCGGTGCGACCCCATGGCACGTCCCCTAGCACGTCGCCTGGCGCGTCACTTGGGACGTTTCGCGGCGCGTCCTCCTGCCATGTCCCCCTGTCAATCAGCCCTGGGGCAGTTACTATGTGTTCAGGCAGCTCGAGATTAAGATCAGTTCGGTCAGGA